CAACATCATCCTCATATTTAAATAGATATATAATAACATACTCGTTACAAAGATTATAAAGAAAATTTTGTGATTCAAGAATCATATCTCAGAAACAAGAAAACTTAAATACATATCAACTCTGAAAGTTAAGCTTCATGTATTTTAGTAATAAGAAAGAGATTATGAATGAATTTTTTTGTGTAAAATGAAAATCTGTTTAATACAGTTATTTTACAAAACACTTTGTCATATTTGATACTGAAAATTGTTTTGCATATAACTACATTGTAGTATTTCATAACATATGAACAACAAGGGACCATTTGGTCCCAGAAGTCTGTTCTTGCCCATCTACCCTTAAGAAAAATAAAAATTTAAATCAACTGTTTATTTTTTTAGAAAATCATCATTTCCTTTTATAAAGTTTTACAAAGACCAACCTCCACTATTGCCAATACCAACTCATTCTATAAGCCAATAATTCTCTTAGGAAACTAAAATTGTTATAACTGGAGCCTCCTATCCTGTTTTTTTCTTTCAAATTTTAAACTTGAGTCCTCTCATATTAATATCTATGAAAGAAATCATAGGCCTTAGTCTTACTGAACTTTGTATAATCTCATTGACTTCAACATCATCATCCTTTACTCTTCATTTCTTAAGAGAAAACAAGTGATCTTTGTAAGCTAACCCTTCCATCCTTGGAATCATTCTAGTATTCCCCTCTGAACCCTTTCTAACAACTCAGTATTATTTTTAAATAAGGAGATCAAACCTGGATGCAGTATTCCGATTGCTGTCTAACAGATAGATAACTAACCTTTTTTGACGTGTAATTATTATATCTATAAGTACACTATAAAATTCTGTTGCTGCACTAATAACAATAAAATACTCCTTAAGTAGCTTGAGTGATTTATCCACTATTCACCACTATACCAAGATTCTTTTCTTCAATCACTATTAAATAGGTTTCCATTTATATTCATTTACAGACAGTAGGCATGATTTTGTAGTTTACTGTGTATTGAATTCTGTGTACTTTCAGTACAGAATATGCAAGTCAAAGTAGTAGCTTTTATTTTTATGCAAACATTCTAGTTCATCATTCAAGATACTGTTTATATCATTCTTAAAATAGGTTTAACAGTGTGTAAGTTATAATAACTGTTTTCTTTGTTTTTTATTGGAGCTTGTAAGAGATATGGTATTAAATCTGACTTCAAACTAAAATTCTAACATCTAGCTTTATTAATTGAATGACAGTTTAAGAATTAAATGGGTTTTATTTTTATACTTGTAGTTTCTCTTTTATCTGAAAATGTAATGACTGTTAGTGTTCAGAAGTTAAAATTATTATTTTTGTATGTAATTGTAAATAAAGTATACTATATAAGTACAAGTGTTTTGAGATGTGTTAGCATTGTATATTTATAATCATTTTCTGGCTTCTTTTTTGTAGGTATAACTATGAATGGAAGTTTGAAGAAACAAAGAAAAATGTAATGAGAACACACACTACAGCTGTCAGTGCTAGAATGTTGTACAGACTGGCCCAACAGGTAAGCCTATCATACATGTGTATCCTCATTTAGCATAACGTATGTACTCTACATAACTGCATTAAACCATGGTTTTGAACTACAATCTATCTTTAAAATACTGTTATAATGTATTCTCTCATTGGATGGGTTCTTTTTTATTATTCTGCAAAAATAATGCAAAGTCCAATCCACTTAATGATAATGATTTATTTATTTCTTCAATAATTAACATTCTACAGGCTACAATTCTTGGTAGGCCTAATTTCACAAATAACATTTTGACAGAAGTCCAAGAACAATAATATGCATAACTCCCCAATAAAACTAGATAACAGTTACTTACTTGCAAAATGTCCTCTTGTTTTGACAACAGAACTCAAAACCAGCTAACTAACACTCCAATAATTGACCAGTAATGCAGTAATGAATTCACTAACTGTCTGAGTGGCTCACTGACTATTGAACTACTAGCTAACTGACTGGTGTTCTCCATACCTCATACATGGCCTAGACTTGCATAAAACTTCTTGATGTTATGCCAAAAAAGAATGCCTTCTACCAACCAAAACATCTAAAATAAAATATTCAAAGAAATAGCTTACAACAATACTGTTCTTCAAAATTCTACAATGAAAAGCTATGGAAATCCGTAGTAACTACCTCATTTATTTAGGGTGGGGCAGAAGCTAAAATTCCTTTGGTACTATATTATCTCATGGCTTTACATCCCAATTTTTGAAGATCACTTTTACTGCAAATAAAACAGGCCTGTTTTATCACCTTAAATTATTTGATAATAGACTTCTCAACTGCTGGAAGATTATAAAAATATTTATCTAAGAATGTAGTGAATGGGCCAGGATATGTTTTTACAAGGACTTATCCAAGAATGTAGTGAATGGGCCAGGGTATGTTTTTACAAGGACTTATCCAAGAATGTAGTGGCATTCCATGAATGGGCCAGGGTATATTTTTTACAAGAACTTATCCAAGACTGTGGTGGCATTTCATGAATGGGTCAGGGTATGTTTTTTACAAGGACTTATCCAAGACTGTGGTGGCATTCCATGAATGGGCCAGGGTATGTTTTTTACAAGAACTTATCCAAGAATGTAGTGGCATTTCATGAATGGGCCAGGGTATGTTTTTACAAGGACTTATCCAAGAGTGTAGTGGCATTCCATGAATGGGCCAGAGTATGTTTTTACAAGGACTTATCTAAGAGTGTAGTGGATGGTTCAGGGTATGTTTTTACAAGAACTTATCCAAGATTGTAGTGGATCGGCCAGGCTATGTTTTTACAATGACTTATTCAAGAGTGTAGTGGATGGGCCAGGCTATGTTTTTACAAGGACTTATCTAAGAGTGTATTGGATGGGCCAGGATATGTTTTTACAAGGACTTATCCAAGGGTGTAGTGGATGGGCCAGGGTATGTTTTTACAAGAATTTATTCAAGAGTGTAGTGGATGGGCCAGGGTATGTTTTTACAAGAACTTATTCAAGAGTGTAGTGGATGGGCCAGGGTATGTTTTTACGAGGACATATCCAAGAGTGTAGTGGATGGGCCAGGGTATGTTTTTACAAGAATTTATCCAAGAGTGTAGTGGATGGGCCAGGGTATGTTTTTACGAGGACATATCCAAGAGTGTAGTGGATGGGCCAGGGTATGTTTTTACAAGGACTCAGTTGTTGAAAGTATTTTATTATGTAGACGTGTGTGTGTATAATTTCTGCTGTTTTCATTGATTTATTTTGTTAAAAGGTCTAGGTAATTTTATATAAAAATTTCTTGTCAGGAGGGAAATGGAACCCCCATTTACTAGTGTAAAGCATGTATATGACTGGTGTACAGGGTGTGGCAAAAGTTACTGTGTAGTTCGTACTTAATATCATTGGTAGTAAAGACAATTGAAACCAATTTATTAAACAACTGAATAGTCACTTTTGCCCCACCCTGTATGTATAAAAACATATTTTTTTATGTATATAGTATAACCTGAACTTTTATATGAACCTTAATGAATAAAAAAAAATTATGTTTCTGAAGAGAATAAAAAATTCAGTTTGTTTAAATTTGGAAATATATATTTATTTCAGGTAATATTATTTATATAAAGAAATATAATCTCTCAGTCTGAATCTTTATAACATTGGTAATTTGTAAAATAAATTGGTTAAATTATCTCACTCATTTACATTTTCTGTGCTGGAAATTTACATCAGTGGAGAAGGTTTTCTTGGGTAAGCAAGTTATGGTGTACATGTGCATGGCTCTTGCATGTTATAGTGTATTAAAGATGGCTAATACAATGTTTAAATGAACAACAATGTGCTTATTAAACCTTGAAAATTGACATTATTGAACAACTGAAACAATTTTAGAAAGTTCTTTTAATCTTTGTAAAAAGGGCCCAAAATATAAACATGCATTTTTCAGTCTAAATTTTTTTGATAAAAGTTTATGAAACATTAAACAGAAACTTGTGTTGGCACAAATCCTGTAGCATAGAGTTTATTATAGGGCTAGTATTAAGCTTTACATTCTAGAATTTGTAATTCAATAAACTGTAATTACCACCTAACCTTAGGGTTTGTTTTTATTTCTCAAAAATAATTTACATAATGCATAGTTTCCTTCATGCTACACTTTCTGTAAACCTAACTTTAAAAGGTCTTGTTAATTTTTAAAATCAGGAAAATTTACATATTTGCTGCTAAGTTAAATTTTGACTTATGAATATGATATAGAGGTAGGAGAATGTGTAAGGTGGCTTAGGTTAAGCTTATTAGATATTTAACAAATGATCACAGAACTTTCAACACTTGGAAAGTACCAGCAGCTTTTGACACCCAAGCATATTGAACATGTGAGCTAACAAATGAGGGCAGTACACTGTAAAAACTTGGAAAATACCATAGAACTTGTGGGCTTCATTCAAATAATGCTTTTTTTTTCACATTGATTTCTTATCCATAAGTTATAAACAGTATTATACACTTGTGTATTTGTTTTTTAAAAAGAAAAATTTTGCACCTAAAATCAAACTGGTGTATTTACGTGTTTTACACTCACTAAAAAGAAACCTATCATTCTATAGGTATTTGAAGAACTTGTAGTAATCCGCCACAATTTAATTCTTCGTATTGTTAGCCGACACTGGCAGTTTGTACATAATTGAATAATTAG